CTGAAAAAAAAAAGAATACTGTTTGCAACTCACTAAAGAGATTTCATGAGTTGAATTGAACAAAGGACATAGAAACATACTCATTTTCTTGGTCTCCTAGGCCCAAAGAGAATGCAAAGTTGCCAATAATTCCTGTTCATTGTGGTCGGGCCCATAGCAGGGAACTTTTATACCTTTGTGTCAAATCCAAAGTGCCTGAGAGACAGGTTAGGAGACAGCCAATCTTGTGGCTTCATACATCCAGGTGCAAGTCATAAATTAATTCCCTAAGTTAAGCTCATTCAGTCTCAGATCTTCTTGCCCTGGGCACTTTCACACTTATCCCTTTCAGCAGTGTGGGAGCTTGTAACAATCATCTCTAGTTCCTTATTAAGGCAAGGATGAATCACATGTCCTCAGGATATGCCCATACAAAGCTATCAGGATGAGGCAGGGGCCTGCCTGCTATTCTGCCCCTACAATGTCTGTCTTATCCAATGGCAGTCAGGTTAACTTATAGTGAATCCCAGGAGTTCAAATACAAATGGGTGTCTCAGCAAAGATGAGATTCTAATAGTACAATCAAGGCAGATGGGAATGTAATGATTCAGGCAGTAACCACAGGCCTTGCTGAGGCCCAGTGATGAGAAGAAGATGCTAATGAAGATCTTGCAAAAGAGTGCTGCAGACAGAAGGCTCCTTAAGTACAAAGTTCTGAGGAGAGACCCAGCCTGGCAATACAAGGCTACCATGTCTGAAACTGAGTGAGGGTGACAAGGATGGAGAGGTGAGGGGGTGGCCAGTCAGAATGCGGGGAACTGAAGAGACCACAGTAAGTTGTTATGGTGTTAATTGTACCAAGAAGTCATTGGGATATTTTAGATAATAGAATGATTTCAACTGATTTATTATTTGAAAATTTACTTGGTTGCAATGAGAATAGATGAACTGATATGTGGTAGGTGGGTCTGAGACAGGGAGACTAAGTAGGAGGACTTAGTCTTAGGAAGATGTGATTTTTGTCTTGGAGTAGGGAGATAAAAACGGGGAAAAATGGGCTTGGGTCATGTATTATAGGTAGAAACCATACTAACAAACCATGGAAAATGCTAAAGATGGGGATTGAGGAAGACTACCTAATTCATGCCATTAATATTTTTGGAGCTTCTACTTAATCCAAGCACAAAGGTAGGTACTGGAGATATTTTAATGAAAAAAAAATCAGACATGATTTTGCTTTCATAGGACTTAAAATCGATTGAAAAATATCAACACAAGTAAATTATTAACTGAAAGCTCAGGAAAGGGCAATAAATAGAGCTTTATGGTATTGTTAGTTCAAATAATGGATCTAATTTAGCTAGGTTCTGTGTTGTGGTGGGATGAGGTGTGTGTGGGTTGGTGGGTGAAGGTGGTATGTGTACAGTAGGTTATTGGCCAGGTCAGGCAAGGAGAAAATCCAAAAGGGAAGAAGGTTGTCACAAGGTGAAATGTGACAGGGTGTGCAGCATTGGGAGTATGGAGGCTTGGTGGTGGCACAGTTGAGGAACTGCCTGCAGGGCAAAGTGGGGGAAGGGTGCAAAGAAACCATGGCATTGAGCAGGTTATACACAGTCTTTTTTTTAGGCTGTGTTAGAGAGATTGGCTTTTATCGTAACAAATCTGGAATCCTTCACAAGGAAACTAACTAAATGCTAGGGTTTCTTCCCATTCGAGGCTCTCTGTACTTTTGTGATTTAATTTGAAATAAGAAACTGGCAGAGCTACAAATTGAACCTCAAAAATAGTGAAATTGCTGGCTTTTGGTAAGCATAATTGGAGTACCTTTCAAAGAATCAGCGTGCATGGTCTTCTCCTCCTCAGGTACAGTGAAATATTTCAGGGGAGCATAGACATTCCAGTTCTGGTGTTATGACACCATTAATATTATCATTCTCAAACGTGGAATGGCTTTAGGCACTGTCCCATAGGCTCCTCTCTGAATCTCTGAGTTTTATGAACTTATGCAGCATGGAAATATGTTCAGTGAGTGCCTATGTAAGTGAACTAAAATAATTGATATGACATTTGTGAATGTCAAGTTATAAAATCTATGTCAGATGATATTAAGAAGATTATTAGATAATTCAGATGAACGAAATAACTAGACTGTTTCTGGATATTTCTGCTAACCTCTCAATTCTCTAAGATGAAGTAATGAAGAACGTGAACAATTTAGAATTGCTGTTCTCAATTAGGTTCAAATGTGCCTCCAAAAGGTTAATTGGCAATGTCTTGGGACATTTTTTAATTTTTACAACTGTGACTCTAGTGCTACTGGTATCTAATGGGTAGAGGTCAGGGATGCCTATGTCAGACAGGGTATCCAGAACAGCTTCCTAAAACAAAGAACTATCTGCTTCAAAACATCAGTAGTGCTAGGGTTAGGAAACACTTACCTTTGCAACTTTTAATAGGGACAAATAACTTTTTCTTTTTGAAGGGAAATAACTCTCATATGAATATGACTGTTCTTATTTTTAAGGAAGGAGATGAAGGAAATGATCTCAGATGAGCTAAGATTGCTTCAAACTTATTTGCATTTTTTTTAAAAAAATTATATATCTGTAGTATTATGAGACCATAATAAGCTGCAGCATCTCCTCTTCTTGAGGTGGCATTTTTCCTACTGAATATCCAGTGAGCTCTTCTTCATCCTTTAGATGGTACTCAAGAATCCTTTCCAGATGAACTATGGGGAAAAGTCAGGTTTCCTCAAGACTTTTCTCACTTAACCCTGGGTTTTAGTACAATGTAGCATTGTGCATACTGGATAATTTTGAGGTTTTGAATAGTCTTGGTTTAGGAACCAAGTGATAAATAAGATGAATTGTAAGATAAATAAAGCTAAAGTAATATTACAAAATAATAATATTTTATTATATTTCCTTCTGACTACTAATAAAATGTGAGTTAGAGGATGTAGTTTGGGTCCCAAACCAGATCATTTAATGGGGCTGAAGTAGCTATCATGTTACAGAAGTAGACACACTCGCTGCAACCGGAAGAACTTTCCCCTGGAAAAGCAGCAAAGGATGCCCTCCTTCAGGGAGAAGCTCCCTCTACAGCGAAGAAATCAGAAGCAGAGATGAGCATACATTGTGGATTACTTACAAATTGATCAGATAAGCCATGTCATCATGTCATCTCCTTTAGTGCAAGAGTGAGGGAAGGAAAAGAGAGGTCTGGGTTTTATTGAGTTCCATTCATATGGGAGGAAACATCAAGAGTGGGAAAGATGCCGTCCTTCCCCTGCCCAACTTCTGCAAATGTGACTCTCTGCTTGTCACTTTTAGCTGTTACCTGTGCTATCCAGTTCAATAGCTACTAGAAATGTGTGGCTATTTTAAATAAAATTAAGCACACTTGAAAATAAGGCTCAGCAACCCAAGTAGCAAGTGGCTACCATATTGGACAATGCAACTGTAGAATTTCTACCATCAAAAAAAGATCTACTAGGTGTTGCTATTAGGAATTTTGTCTTAACTCATCTTTGTATAATCAATGCCTATAAGAAGGACATTAAAAAATGTTTGAATGGATATAAAATGATTTTGGATATATTGTGATTTTGTTTTTCAAATCTCCATGTTGTAAAGATCTTCCAATTCTAATGAAGCAAGATAGAAATCAAACATAGATAACCTTGCTAAATAGAATAAATTAGGTAAATAATGTGCATCCTATAATCCTAATTTTGTTTAGAAATAATTATTTATATGTATATGTGTATATATGCATACATGTTTATAATGTAGGAAAATAGTCTTAAAAGGTACATAACACATTATATGTAGCATATAATGAGTGAGATTGACAAGGAAAATAAGGAAAAACTTTGTTAACTAAAAATCTTGTTACTAGGCAAATGAACTAATTTGAGTGAAAAATAATAAGTGACAGATTAGGTAATATGTTAAATTTATAAATACATAAGGAAAATATGGCTATTTTCAATATCAAATATTATTGAAAGGTCATTTTAAGATAGAAGAGAATAAAGTGCTAAGAAAAAAATGGGATTGAAATATAAAGACAAATAGTAGTGATTAGTCTAATGGATGTTTTGTGTAAACCATGAACTCTGTTTCCTAAGTGGTATGTAAGGTAATATTTTCTTTCCCAAGATATAGCTCTCCTGCTAAGCTGCAGAGAAGGATGGGGCCAGATGGTACCATTACATTTTTCTGTTTTTCCTTCTGACCCAGCAACACACTTTCTTCCACCTCTCCTTATAGAAATTACTTTTGTTTATTGCAGGAGTAATCTTCACCCTGGGAATGGACTTAGTGGTGATATCTGAGTCAGACCCACTGGCTGTGATAATCCTCTTACAGTCTTAGCTTGCTCTTCATTTGATAGTTTATGCTGGACAGATGCTGGACCAGAATTTAGCCCATAAAATTAAGACATTCTGTTTAACAGGGCTAAACCTAAATTGCTCAAGCAAAGACATTAAGTCATGAAGTGGTGCCTTAAAAAGTATCTTGGGTCATTTAATTCACAGTAAAAGTAAACCTAGATTCAAATGAAGATTATTTTTTATATGCCACAGTAATTTTTCAGAGGGAAAAAATAAGCTATCATTATGAGAATGGTAAAACAAAATGAGAATGACAAATAAAATTATACAGAAAGATCGGTTTAATTAGTAGCTCTGCTATTTCATTTCATGTTAGTTGATAGAAGAAAAAAGTATTTTCATCAAACAACTGAAATGAGTGAATTTAAAAAGATAAATATAATTACCAAGAAAAATGACATTCACAAAACATTTTTAAATGAGCATTGTAGATGTGATATCTTTGTAATGATTGCATTTATTGACTATTATTCATTTTCAGATCACAATAGATTCTCAGCTTGGGAGAAGAAATTCCTTCAGGGCGACTGCATCCCTGAGGACTGATATTTGAAGAAGTTGAACTGTTTTGTAGATCACCTCTTTCTTAATATTTTCTCTCACTATTTCTATTTTTCAGACTCACTATGAAAATGGGGAATATATTATCAGGCAAGGAGCAAGAGGGGACACCTTCTTTATCATCAGCAAAGGAAAGGTAAGCTTTGGTGGCACCAGAAGTGATGGAGGAAGGCAGCCTGGGGTGTTCAGCAGCCACGGCAGGAACACAGGTGTTGATCTTGGTTTGTCCATATCTTCTGACTCTGACAGGGAAATATTTGAAAATGGATCATCTAATGAATGATTTAGGGTGAAGAAGAGTGTAACTTGGAAGACCAGTAAGTAGCCTGAGTGCTAATAATCATAATAGTTCTTATAGAGGACACTGGTAAGCCTGTGTTAATAGAAAGGTCTCCATAAAAACACCACCAAACTTCTTTCAACTTAAAAGAAAATAAAAAATAAAAAGAGATCTCCCAAATTAAAACTATACAACAATAACAATAACAACAAAAATAACTAAGGGCACCTAAAAGATCCATCCAGTCTTCAGGAGCAGTAACATTGATATAATGAAGCATCTGACCTTTAAAATCAAACAGTGTAAGTTTGAATTTGCCTTTAAACTTACTCAATTTAGTCACACGAGGCAAATTGCTCAACATTCTGAGGTCAATAAAAAAATAAATGTTTCCATGTTGTATTGTAGCTTCATGAAGAATATTGGGTAAAGACTAACAAACTATGAAAAGTGGCAAAGTATAGGACAAGTAATAATAGGGTAGACAATGAGTGTGAATGAAAACTAATACTTTACTCTTTATATTGTTTTGGTTTTTCAACTATATATTTCAATGTATATTATAATTTATATTTGAAAACAAAGAAATTGAATTAATCCTGAAATGGAAATTTATCTTAATACTCTACTATCATATTGCTAAAAAATATCTTAAATTTCTTTCAACAGTAAAACCATAATCATTTTTTAACATTGTCTTTATGCTATAGTCCAGGATTCGAACTTATTTTTCTTTTTCATATATTCTTCTTTTTTTTTAAAAGAGAGAGTGAGAGACAGAGAGAGAGAGAGAGAGTGAGAGAGAATTTTTTAATATTTATTTTTTAGTTTTCGGCGGGCACAACATCTTTGTTTGTATGTGGTGCTGAGGATCGAATCCGGGCCGCACGCATGCCAGGCGAGCACGCTACCGCTTGAGCCACATCCCCAGCCCCATATGTTAGTCTTAAAAAGTATTTCTGTCTCTATGCATTAAGTATAGAAAGAGATGGGGAGATAAATGCATGTAGAAAGGAATTATATAACATTTTTATAATTGTCACTTTAAAAATTAAGTAAATGTAATTTTTCTAATTTAAAAAGATGACTGACTCTGGTAACTTATAGCTTATCTTTTTAATTTAATTTTATTTCAGGGTACCAGGGATTGAACCGAGGGGTACTTAATAACTGGGCCACATCCCTAGCCATTTTTATTTTGAGACAGGGTTTCACTTTTTAAATGACTTAGGGCTTCGCTAAGTTACTGAGGCTGGCCTTGAATTTGCAGACATCCTGCCTCAGCCTCCCAAGCAGCTGGAATTACAGGCATGTACCACTGCGCCCGGCTATAGCTTGTATAGAAAGATTTACAGAGCCACAGTAAATTAAATGTGTGAAATATTCTAAGTATTTTTGAATTACATTTTAGAGAATCCTCTTTGAACTAATTTTGAATCAACGAAATGAATATATTAGTGTTTACACAAGTGACACATCCCAATAAAATGAAGAAAACAATATTTATACTTTAATTATATCTGTTTGTTTGACTTCAATTACTTTAATTATATCTGGTTGATATCTTTGTTGTCATGGAGTAATCTGTATGACAGGATTTTGCGACCATCCAATTATTGCAAATTTCCAGCATTGCCTGAGAAAGTAGTAGTCTTTTGTAACCAGTTTCAGCTGAAAACAGGTGATGCTGTTTTATGAGTTTTGTAATGTGTATAGTAGAAACAGCTTGGAAGTTAGACTACAGAAATCAATTCATTTGACAATATTTCAGTGCATTGTGCAGATCCTGGGAGAGAAAGAGTGATATATTAGACTCTTGACATGGTCATGATTTTTTTCAAACCAGGAATGGATTTTTTCTTGGTTTTTCAAGTTGCATAGTTAGTTCCTGTGAGTCCTAATTTTATCAGTTGATATGAAAATTATATTAATGTATTAGAATCACTATAAGATATAGAAGGTGAGCATTCTTAAGTCCCTGTTGTAAAAATTAGGAAAAAGAAATGAACAATGATAAAATAGGTTAAGATTAGCAGATAAATAAGTTGTAGAATTTTCTAAAATAGTGTGTTTTGTTTCAGGTATATTGGTATACATCTGTTTTCCCATGCATTTGTAAAATTTATAAAGTGTAACCCTGGTGAAGATATTTTTCTTGTTACCATTGAACTGACTTTTTAGAAAATGTTGTGAGATAAAAGAAGACACAACAGTGGGCTATGGAGTTACAGATGGATTTTTTCTTGTTTAGTTTCATTTATTTAACTGTGAAACTTTTTTATTTAAATTTAAAACATTTTTTCATTCTCCCATTAAGTACATCGAGACTAAGAGAGACATTATAGACTTTGAAATACTTGTTTTCCCCCCATTAAATCCACACAAAGTGATTTTTCTAAAACTAGAAACAGAGTGCTTACAGCATCTGCTGCTTGCCTCAGGTAGAAGCTGAGTTAGTTCTCTGTACTTTAGTCAGTGCATTCCAGTAGCCCAGAAAAATGACTTTTACCATTAACAGTAGGAGGAAGCATTGAAGAATTCTGTGTTTATCCCTGCAGTGGTAAAGCCTCTAAAAACTATTTCTCCATTCACAAGTTAAACCAAAATTAAACAGGATTGGATAAAACACTTTCACAATTCCAAGAATAATTGAAAGGCATTTTCATTTTTCTGGTTCTATTCAACATGTCTTATATGCAACCAGTAGAAAAAACAGATTAAAAAATTCTTATCTATTAAATGACATTTAGATGTACATGGTTTTGCTTCTTAGAATTAACAAGCATTTAAGCATGGTGATTAAACATATTAACATAACGCTCAGTATTTCTGAATATGGAAAGTGTTCTCTTATGTAAATTTTATTTGTATAGGCATATACATGTTTGTGTATACACGAGTGAAGTAGTAGCAACATTTTCTTTTATATTAAGAATAAGATGGAGGGGGAAGGAAGATGGCGGCGAGGGGAGTGCATTACCCCCGTGTGCTGCTTCACTGTGTGGGAGTATGACAAGTCAGGACGGCTAAAGGATATCTTGTTAGGAATTTCCAGCAATAGTGGGGTGCGCCGGAACCTGGAGGAAGGATTTCCATCGCACGAGGATCGGCTACGGGGACTCAAACTCGAGAGGTTTGTCGCACGGAGGGTAAAACTGCTTATTCAGCAAATCGCCCCGCGGCTAGAGTCTGCAACGCGCGCTGGGATAGAGACGCAGGGTTACAGTGCTGCAGTTTCTGCCAGCCGCGCAAGCACCGCACTCAGGGCTGAATTCTGGGTTCGAGACGGGGAAGGAAGCGGTCCATCTCGGTTCTCCACACCGGTCAGACCACAGAGGAGGCCAGCAGCCACCATGTTGGTAAACTGACGTCACCATACCTGTTTTTGACTGACCGCAGCTCATTCAGCCATAGAACAGGTAATTTCAGGCTGCAATTCGCCTGCGGCTTGCAGACAGATTGCTAGGGTTCAGCGCCTGGGTGCTTCTTAAAATCTGATCTTATCGGAGTGAACACCGAGCGTGGGGCAGCCGAGTTCCGGCTCCCGGAACCGTCCCGGAACCGCCCTGGCTCAGGGCTGCGGAGCCTGCGGAGGCTGCTTCTTGGACCCTGCTACTATCAGAGCAAACACCAAGCACTAAGCAGCCGAATTCCGGCTCCCGGAACTGAGCCCGCGGGGACTGCTTCTTGGAGCTTACACTTATAGGAGCTTACACCGAGCACGGAGCGGCCGAGTTCCAGCTCCCGGAACTTCCCTGGACCGGGGCTAGGAGCCCACGGAAACTGTGTCTCGGTCCGGGTCCTGCTGAGGGCCGGTCAGGACTCACCCGTTGCTTGGGTTGCCCAGCAAGGGGAACGAAATGCTGCCATTCGCATAGGATACCAACATGGCAGAGATCTGATGTCAGCAGAAAGCGGTGGAGGAGAGATCTTCATCAATACCAGCGGTGACATAAGCAGTTGGTCTCCTGGTAAGGGGGGTGAGGCTCAGTCACCCGAGTCTCCTCAATTTGTCCTCGAGCCAGAGGGAAGGAGCCGGGCCGCCGCCAGCCCCCGGAGCAGGCCCAGCGGCTCGCCAGCGTGGTGACCGCGTGACCCCAATTGGAGAGGGGGCGGAGCGGAGCCGCCACCCACACCCGCCAGGTGGGCAGACCCACGACCCAGTAGTACATGGGCGTGGTAGGAGGGGCAGGGCAGAGCCGCCCTTCGCGCTTGCAAGGTAAACAGACCTGTGACAGCCTGGCGGGTCAGGCCCAGTGGCCTGCCAGTGTGGTACACACATCATCCCAACTCGAGTAGGGGCAGAGCAGATCCTTCTCCCACGCCCGGATCAGGCCCTGCCGGTGTGGTGGTCACGTGACCCCAATTGGAGTGGGGGCGGAGCGGAACCGCCACCCGTGCCCGCAGGGTGAGCAGACCAGTGATCAACCTGCAGATCAGGCCCAGGGGTCCGCAGGCGTGGTAGGAGGGGCAGGGCAGATCCGCCGCCCGCGCCTTCAAGGTAGGCAGACCTACAACAGACCGGCGGATCAGGCCCAGGAGCCTGCCGGCGTGGTACAAACACCACCCTAATTGGAGTAGTGACAGAGCAGAGTCGCCTCCCTTGCCAGGAACAGGCCCAGCGTCCTGCAGGCGGGGTAGTCACAACACCCCAATTGGAGTAGGGGCAGAGCAGAGCCTCCACCCGTGCCCGAAAGGTGGGCAGATCTGCGACCGACCAGCGGGACAGGCCCAGTGGCCTGCTGGTACGACAGACACGTCACCCCATTTGGAGTAGGGGCAGAGTAGAGCTGCCGCCCGCGCCTGCAGGGTAGGCAAACCTGCAACCGACCGGCGGATCAGGACCGGTGGCCTGC